GGAGGATAACATCAAAGAGTGGACAGGACTAACACTGGGCGATGCAGTGCGTAGTGCTGAAGACAGAGAGGAATGGAGGAGGATGGTTCACATGTCATCTGTGGCGCCCCAACGGTCCAAGGACTAATGGACATGAGAATGAGGATGAGGATAAATCTTTATAATAATAATAATATTATTATAGTCAATTAATTATATTTTAAGTTGCATTGCTCTGTTAAAAAGTTTAGTTTTATTGCTTAGAAGCGAAATTCGTGGTTGGACAATATAATTCAGATCTTGAAAGCATACAAAACATTTGAACATAAAGTGAAAGTATACAAACCCTTTGAACATCGATAAAACATATAAAAAACGATTAAACATCAAGTGATCGTATTCAAAACACGTAAAATATCAAACATGGCGGTAGTGACGAAGCCATTTCACAATGAGTTATTTCCCCTTGATTAAATCCGGTTCAGTAAAAAAAAAAACATTCTTATCTAAACATAAATTGATTGTTTACTGGGAAAAAATGGAAAAAATTTCTAAAGCCACAATGAAATAAACGTATCGGAAAAATGAAAATTGACACTTTTGGTCAAGGAGCTGGTGTCATATCTGAAATGAAACGACAGCACGTGATAAGTCCGGCTTGGTTGTTTTCGTCGCACCCTGGTTGTATAAATAGGGTGAGTGCTGCGTAGACCATCATCCACCTTGTCCTTGTTGGCGTTAGAGGTACGAGGGAATAACAATGGACATTCAAAGATCAACGCACATAATGACTTTCGTATTATTTGTGGGGCTGTTGAATGTGGCGTCGGGCTACCATTCGGTGAGTCATGTTACTTTTTAACGTATTTTTAATATTTTACTTATTTTAGTAGTTTCCTTTTTCAAATGTGTTATAGACATTATCAGTGACCCCCAACCCGCCCCTCCCCCCAAAAAAAATATATAATTAAAAATAAAATAAAAAATAAAAAGTCCCCAACCTTTGTTTGTTTGTGTTCCTGCTTTAGGTAAACAAGGAAAAAATGGTTTGATTTCCTCTGTTTAATAATATTCATAAGTGTACATGCTATGCATACTTAGAAATGTGTAGGTGTTTTAATTAAAATACTCACGCCTATACTACGCTGACACATATCTTGGTAGTTCTGCATATTGAAATAACCGAGCTCTGCTTTCAGTGTTCACGCACACCCACCAAACCATTCATTTAAAGTCCCTTAATATAATCGTAGGTTCTAATACTAATCGACATATTTCACTGATACTGTTTGTCATAGAAAGCCAATGGTTTGTTTAACATTTTTAAAAAAAAAATTAAAAATTAATATTCATGCGTCTTAACCTATCTGTGCAACATAATTTTACGACACAAAATAATTTCCCCCAAAAGTAAAATTTAAAAGGAAAACGATTAAAATGCCGTCAACTTTCAGATAAAAATAACATTTATCAATATAAATATGAAGTTCTTTTCTTCCCCCAAAGTATTATTAAACTTTTATGTGATTATATATTCTCGGATTCGAATGGTAAGATTTAAAAAAAAGAATAATGTCATTGGACTGTTAATTGAAAATAAAACACGTTAGCATATAATTTATGAGTTATAAACAAGAAGGACAATGTTATTGCAAGATTCAAATGAAAAAAAAAAAATATAATAATTAAAAAAAAAAAATTCGCGCAAAGAAACCAACAATTAAACAATAACAAATAAACAATAACAAATGAACAGTAAGAAATGAACAAATAAACCTCTCCTTGAGGAAAAAAGAGACATTTCAATTTTGTATTATTATTTTGAGGAATACAATACCATTATAACTTTTAAACTATTAGTGCCTAGTTTTACAGATAACCTAATTTATTTACAATAATTAGAGGTGTTACCTTTTCAGAGAAGATGATCAACAAAACAACCATCATGTGCGTTTGAACTTGTGCTCTTTTTTTTTCGAAACGTACCGTTTTGAGTTGCAATAATTGATAATTTATATTGATGGAATGAAAATTTCTTTGGAATTTTTGAAAAAAAAAAAGAGTTAGGTTTAAAGGATATACATTATGTTCTTTCTAATTTAACCAATAATAAAACATATATTTGCTTGAAGCTCATATTTTTAAAGCACATGTTTTACTGGAAATAAGTAAATATTAGGAGTAGTGTTTTTCGGATAAAAATGGAATTGGATTTTGAAGATCACAAATCTAGTCCGATGTTTTAAAAATTAGTATTTGAACCCCACCCCCTCCCCCCCCCCCCACACCCATTATGGTCAAATCACCAAATGATGTTATATTCCTTTAAAACATCGGTTCTCAAGCTTGGGCTCGCGACCCCTTTGGTGGTCATTTTTCGGATAAAAATGGAATTGGATTTTGAAGATCACAAATCTAGTCCGATTTTTTAAAAATTAGTATTTGAACCCCCCCCCCCCCCCCCCCCCCCACACCCATTATGGTCAAATCACCAAATGATGTTATATTCCTTTAAAACATCGGTTCTCAAGCTTGGGCTCGCGACCCCTTTGGTGGTCGAGCGATCATTACTCAGGGGTCGCCTAAGAACATCGGAAAACACACATTTATGAAGTAGCAAGGGAAAGATCTTTAGGTTTGGAGGTAACCACAACATGAGGAACTGTAATTAAAGGGTCGCGGCATTAGGAAGGTTAAGAACCACTGCTTTAAAAGGCTGTCGTACGTTGATTGTCTTTTGGGATTTGGAAGGAAGAAAACTTTAGTTGGCTTTTAGCGTCGTATAATTAAAGTAAAGTTGATATAAAATAGTATCGGGACTTAACCATTTCTACGTTTGTTCACGTTTGGTTTTCAATTTCAGGGCGGCTTCGGTAGCAACGGAGGAGGATTTGGTGGCGGAGGAAATGGTGGAGGCTTCGGTGGAGGAGGAAATGGTGGAGGCTTCGGTGGAGGAGGACATGGTGGAGGCTTCGGTGGTGGGCCTATAAGTCGAGATGCCCCTCCAGAAGAAGACATTTCAGACAAGTCTTACGTCCCCGAACAAATTAAGCTGCTTATCGGACATGCTGTGTCGGGTAACTGATTTCTCATCATATTAAAAAAAAATATATATATTATTTGTGTTGATCTATTCTTCATGTAAATTAGTCTCAATAGCCATGGAAATTGTGATGAATTTTACAGGGGTTATAAATTATAACATTTTTTATTAATGAATTTACAAAGAACTGTTTTTATTTAATATTTTATTTCTCTAAGGATTAAATTGTCTCTTAGACTCAATTCATCAACAACAAATTAATAAAGACTTACAAAATTAAAAGAAAGTTAAATTTATGTGATTTTTATATTTCCCGGCATAAAAAATAAAAAAAAACAGTTTCAATTTGTACCATATAGATAATAAACACTTTGACACAATTTCGCGCTCGGGGCTTTTTTTATTCTATTTTTAAAATCATATAAGAGACATTTTAAGAGCATGCAACATTTAATCTTATTGTAAAACTCTCATAATTTTGTTATTTTATTGTAATTGAAACTTAAATAGCACTTTTCAAAAAGTGAAATAAAGCTTACAACCACACCGCTCAACTACAACCTTCAACTACGCCCCTCAACTACATCTTTCAAATACACCCTTAAACTACACCCTTTAACTACACCCCAGAACTACACCCCTTAACTACACTCCTCAACTACACCCAAATGGAACATAAACAGCAACTTGCTCTACCAAACATACAACAACCTCTTACCCGACTTACACATTTCCTTCAATCTGCTCACCTCATGCTCACATTTTTACCTTTTTCTTCGGCCTCTCACATTTCCAATGCCCTCCCTCCCTTAGTGTAGTGAACCTAATCATTTTAGACTCACTTCCCTGTCAGCACATACACGTCCACTAAATCAGACATTACTGTATATCATTTGATGACATATACCATAGTTCTTGATAATATAGTAACAAAAAATATTTCTAACATTGCGCCGCCACCTCTATGGTTTTAAATTTTTTTAACGCTGTACATTTCTCAAATCAAAGACTGAAAGATCCAAATTATTTTCAATATGCCCCCATCGGGGCGTAGGCGCTACATCTGGAAATACACCCCCCCCCCCAATTCACTTACTTTCATATATTGAGTAACAAAACGGGAAAATGTCAAATTGATTATTTACATTTTACAATAAGATATTGAAATATCATGTACAATGCCTCATTTTTTTTAATACTCATTTAATGTTATAACACTATTGAACTCACCGTTGTCAGCTTTCTCTCAAACACTTACAAGTGTGGGAACTACAGAGAGTAGACAAGACGCGATGACACGTGCAGTAGATTGTAATTAAGCATATTTCATTACAGCTCCATTTGTTCACACTCATTTTCCTTCCTTCAGGTCTAACAGTAGACGACATGGTGAATCATTGTAACAAGATTAAGGCTGGGGCCCAGGCACAGCTGGATGCTGGTGGAGAGACAAGTAAGTAAAGATTATTATTGTATTATGGTTTACATTCAAATATTAGTATAATCCCCGATAGTTTGGTTTCCGGTGGCTAACTCGCAATGTTTTTGTGTATCCAAATGGATTAAATACGGGAAAAGCGTTGAATATCAATATAAATCGGTAAAAATCAATGCGGGACGCTAGACTATGGGTGTGAATCCAAACTGTCAAATCCGGAGATTGTGTCCCGAAGCCGATATGACGCTGCTACCTATGTCATTTTGGCAACTCCAACAACGCAGTTAGAGCCAAGTTTTATTGACAAGTGTCATTCCCCTTGGATCCACTGGCTGTGTGGTGAGTTGGGATCTGCTGTATTTGGCAAAAGAAGATCTTCATAAAACTAACCACCCCCCCCCCGCCCCACCCAGGCTAAATAGCTGCACTACTGATGACACTTCACAAGAAACGCAAGTCGTTGCAACATAATGAGCATTATGGAATGTCAAATTTAACCTGGAGTCTAGGTTCTCCTGCAAGAAATTCAGCCACGTAAGCCATTTGATAATGTCAGGTACTCCATCGTATATCGCTGATATTCTAAACGTGTTCTCAGCAGTGTAATTAGTGATTATGATGTTCCTTTATACATAGTAATGTATCATTAAATTAAAATGTAAGATTTGTTTAGATGAGAAGACAAGTTGATTTTTTCTTGCTTTGTTTTCGTCTTTTTTTTTTTTTTTTTAAATACATTTGAATTTTTTGACTTTTTTACGTAAAAATATATATTGCCTTAGGCTGGAGAAACATTGTATTTATATACAAAATATTCTAATTAGTGATTATGATGTTCCTTTATACATAGTAATGTATCATTAAATTAAAATGTAAGATTTGTTTAGATGAGAAGACAAGTTGATTTTTTCTTGCTTTGTTTTCGTCTTTTTTTTTTTTTTTTGTAAATACATTTGAATGTTATGACTTTATTACGTAAAAATATAGATTGCCTCAGGCTGGAGAAACATTGTATTTAGATACAAAAGATTCTTCTGTTTATTCTTTTTATTATATAAATCATAAAAAAACACACACAAAAGTAAAGCAAATGAGAGATGTGTTCTATATGCATGAGAAAGTAAGAAAATAACAACACGGTGATTTGACAAGTCTGCAAAGTAGGTGAGGCCTGGTATCTCCAAATAAATGAATAGCTTAACAGCCACATTCCATAGATTGTGTCCTTTTTAGCATGCATAAATACATTTACTTATAAACACATTTACCTATAATCACGTCGCTTGAGTATGTTATTCATGAAACTATGCTGAAGATACTTGTTTTCTTCTATTTTACTTTGTAGTATCAGACGAGCAAGCCGACGCAGTGTTGAGGGAAATGGCTTCAAAATATCCATCAATCTCTCCTGCAGACTTACTCAATTCAGGTAAAATATGAATAGGATTTTGACAAAAAAAATATTTTTTCAAAAGTAAAAGAATAAGAATGTATATTATATAATGTTATTAAATATGGTTAATTTTTTATATGTTTTAGGGTAGACCAAATTATTAAAAAAAAAAAAAATTATGTGGCAAAAAATATAATGCTTTATCGTTATCGATATTAAATTGTCTTCGTCTTAAGTGCATCTAGTTGTTGTTCTTTAAATCTATTGTTTTTAAAGCAATACTATTTGGAGGGCGATTAAAAAGTGACTTACCATTAATTTTTTGTTTGTTTCTGTTTCAAATGAAGTAATGAAATATGTTTTCTCCAATACACTACAACAATCCAGATGCTGTGGTAGACGAGGAATATAGAGTGACTACAGCTTTAAAAATCTTAAAGGAATGCGCTGAGCAAATAAAAACTCATCGAAGTAAGACGGTTTTCGGCAGCACTTTAGTTATTACTTTGTCTAGAGTATCCTAAAAGGCTTTACTAATTACTAGCTAACATACCCAGCAAAACTCGGGTTTGCATTAGAAAAAAATCATTTACACCGTAATCAGCTAATATTAAGTTTATGTGTCCTATAAAAGATTAAAAAATAAAATAATTAAATTTGTAATTGCCTATAAAAATAAAAATTCCTATAAAAAAAGCAATATTATAATAATGTGCGTGGGCAGAGAAGGGATGTGCTCGGTACCTGCCGTACATAAAACAGCTTTTACAGGGCTGCCAGTTGTGATATTTCCCAACTGGAACAAGAGGCAGTGACAGGGTAGGGATCATGATTACAAGTTGGCGTTAATGGATATGAGGCAATATGCGAAGGTGGTAACCTCTAGCCGATGATTCTTACTACTCAGCCCTGAGAAGCTGCTCCAAGGCAACCGTTTCGTCCCAGCTGCATCGCGAATTAGTTGCGTTGTGGAAACCCACTGTAGAATCCCTCTTATACGGCGTCTAACGCTTACCCGGGATGGGTGGGGGGAAGATATTGGGACGTAAAATTTTCCATCCCGACTCCTGAGAAAGTCGATCGTGTGCACTGTGCGAAATACCACAGTTTCGGACCGACCGGATGTCTGTGGGTTGGGACGGCCCCCGGTGGAGACCTGGTCGAACAGACTCGGGTGGCGGCCGTCCTGACAAAGGGACATCCCCGACGTGCCGCACCGCGGCCCGATACCGGGTTGGGGAGGGGTGTTTTGGGGAGGGCATAAAGAGCGCAAGCTCGACGGCACGCTGAAGCCATTTCTTAATGTAATATAATAATATAATATATTACTAAAAACAAAATAGGATAAATTCATGCAGAAGCGTTAGCGAAACACAAATATATTTTAATTGTATATACATATATAACTATATATACATATATGAGATATAAGAAGTACAGAAGTCCTTGCAACAAAAAGAGCATAACATAAGGCCGAATTATAGATTTATATAGCTCATAAAACAATAAAAACGCATTTAGACCCCCCCCCCCTTTTCCACAAAACGTAAAATGGACTTATGTCCCAAAACAAACTGAAATGTCGCATTTTTAAAAATTCGATTAAAATGTAGCTAATATTAGAAGAAAAAAAAACTATTTTAAGGGCCCCCGACGCCAAACGGAAAATTGCAAGTTGTTTCATAATTCATAAACCTATTAAATAAAGTCATATACAAACTGAACAGTCACTGTCTCTATCTGATAAATTTCTTGTTGAAATAAATTTTTTTAGCTCATATTTCACAAACACGAACGTTGGGGCCGCGGCCCGCCACGGATTATTGTAAAATGATTGTAATAATTCAGAAAATTAGCAGGCTTACGGGAAATAAATAACAAACGTTTTATTGCAATCAGAGGCATGGCATAGGGGCTGTTTTTGTTGACAATCATACACACACATTAATTTATATATTTATATTCATACATATATATATATATATATATATACATTATATAAGGAGGGAGGAAGTGGAGATGCCAAAGAAGATGAAAATAAAAATAGTTGTCAAAGTTGCGAAATATTCCTTAGGCAATATCTGAATGCCCTTTTCACAAAACACTTTTCCAATATTTGGCAAACGCAATGTTTTCATCTTTATTGCTGTTTTACTCACAGTATGTACAATTTTTGGCTTTTCATTCATTTTTGTTGAACTATAAATGAACATTCCGTTTTAAATCTTATTATTTGACAGGAAAAGGAGAAGAATATGGGGTATACCTGAAGGCTGCCAGTAAATTGTGTGATATAATCAAAACTGCATCTCTCCGAGTAGGTCAGTATCTGTCAATGGTGGTCATTAACTGTCAGAGTAGGTCAGTAACTTTCAGAGTTGGTCAGTATGATTGTTGATTATAATCATAATACTACACGGCGGCTAATTATAATTGAAAATTTATCATCATCCATTAAGAAACAAAATCATAAATTTAAAAAAAATAATATATTAAAAAAATCAAATGTTAAAATATTATTATCATTACGGTCAATAATGATTAGCACATAATTGCTACAATAACTTTCACGGAACTAGACTATTATGTCCATCTATAAGTTGTCTATTCAAGACATGCGCGTTATTTGGATTACTGATTGATGTTAAAAAGCTAAACTATCCCATTTACATTAAACGATTAGAGAAAATTTAAACTATATCTTTCAAGAAATAAATTAATTAAAAAAAATATATATATAACAACAACGCTAGTTTGTTTTTAAACGTGGAGCCGGTAAATCTTGTGTCGATATCTGTTAGCAGCATTAACTGGTTTTATTTGCAAGTACTTTGTTTTTGTTGACATGTTTCATACCGTACTTTTAGAAATGTCAAATGTCAAAGTATTTTTGGGATGATTCAGAAGTCCTGCTTAGGGAATGGAATGATGGAAAGGTTGCTTTAATAATACCTATGGATACACAATTATTCCTTTCTTTTTGTTCTTCTAATTTGCAGTGGACCTGTACAAGTTTAATCTCTATAACCGGGATGTCAACAAAAGGGTAAGTCAACATTCTACAATAATTGTTAAACAATTTCAAATCGATCTAAAGACTGTGCCGTGTTCGTTAACGCCATACACACGATAGTTAGCTTGAAAATAATGTCAGATCCCCAGATCTCTAAGTGGACAGCTGTCCTGCGTGAAGTACACATAAAACATGTTGTACAAGTTACTATCGGGCACCATGTAATGTGTCATTGTGTTTTTAGCACACTGATCTAAGTGTTATATTCTTTGACGTCGTGTATATGACCAGTACTGGTTTGTGAAATCAATACTTGGTGTGCAATCTGTACTAGTGTGTGCAATCTGTATTTGTGTGTGAGTTCTGTTCTGGTGTACAATCATTACTCGTGTGTGAGACCACTACTGGAGAGTGCAATCACTACAACTATGTGTGAAATCAGTACTAGTGTGTAAAATTATTACTCCTCTGCGACATCAGTACAGATGAGTGCAATCGTTACCCTCTGTGTGAAATCAGTACTCGTGTGTTCAATCATTACTGGTGTGTACAATCAGGTATCGTGTGTGTGAGGAGTACTGGTGTGTGCAATCAGGTCTGGTGTGTGTGAGGAGTACTGGTGCGTGCAATCAGGTCTGGTGTGTGTGAGGAATACTGGTGTGTGCAATCATTACCCGTGTGTGAAATCAGTACTGGTGTGTGGTGGAATTACTGCGATAAATACTATGTTACCGTTTTGATACACAAATTTAGTGACATAGAACGAATAAATAATGTGGTTAATAAAATTAAACAAAGTATATTTTTTTACCAAGAATCAGTAATGTTCTTTTAATATCTTTACAACGAAATGCTGATTTACATTTATCGCAAAGCGCATCTTAAATTACTTAATGATCAATCTCAAAGTAGTTATTTCTTATTAATGTTACCATATTACCTGTTTCACTTTAAATAGCTATTACAAGTCTCACTTTTTCAATTAATTAGCATTACCGTCCCGATTGCTACCAGCTTCCTTGGCATTGGCGAGTGTCTAAAATGGTAGGTGGGGAGAAACTCCCCCCAAAAATGCACCCACCCAACCCCCGGCAATCCTGACTGAGTCCATTATTACATTGCTGCTATTAAGTGTCATTATTTTTAAGATGTGTTACTATTAAGCAACCCCAGCTGCTTATGCGGACGAACTGGACAGCTTCCGCTCAAAGCCTTATACTTGCGAATGAAATCCAGAACTCTGTATTTAACTTAAAGCCGAAGTTTTGGTTAGTGTGGTCATTCGAAAGATGAATTCAAGCCCGTTTTGAAGGAGAACATTTTTAATAAGATTCAGTAACAGCTGAAGTAGTTAATATTAGTTTAACTTTTGTAAACAATTACTCTCTTTGACAGGGTACTAAATATCATGTTTTAGAAATGAAGCCCTAATGTCAACAATTTAACGTTATGAATAATACAATTTTTCCTATAATGGTCAAGTCTGACTTAATGCTGAGCAATAAAGTTTAAGGTCATACATTGACAAATTATGGTTGTGTTTTTCGGAATACAGATAAAATAATAATATTTAAAACAAAAAAAAAACAAACACGGAATTTCAACAAAAAAGATATATATACTTTTATTATTTTTTTTTTTTTTTGACTTCAAAAAAAAAATCCCTTAATTTTACGTTTAGGAATACAGATAAAATAATAATATTTAAAACAAAAAAAAAACAAACACGGAATTTCAACAAAAAAGATATATATACTTTTATTATTTTTTTTTTTTTTGGACTTCAAAAAAAAAATCCCTTAATTTTACGTTGCCATTTCCATTATTAGCAAGCAAGTAGTTATGAAAGGATAACTATCACTCTGTCTTAGTACAATTCTTGGCCTACAGTGGCACTACAAAGGCCCTGCTACTGGTCCTGAAACAAACTAACTTTATAAGTATCAACGTTTCTATCTGCATAATCATAACATTGTAACGAATGGATACAGCAAAAAAAATATTATAACAGATATATTACTTAAAACTAGTTTAAAAGAAATTGAAACGCAAAACAATATCTTGTCTCTTCCCCAGAATCTAATCCGCAGAAAAGAAGGTAAGTTCACAATAAATAAATCACTAGGTTTCAAAATATTTAAATATATGGCCTAACACAAATTGTATCTATCCATTTATCCATCTATCCATCTTTCCATCTATCCATCTTTCCATCTATCCATCTATCCATCTATCCTTCTATCTAATCTATCCATCTATCCATCCATTCATCCATCCATCCATACATCTATCCATCCATCCATTCATCCATCCATCCATCCATCTATCCATCCATCTATCCATCCATCTATCTATCTATCCATCCATCTATCCATCTATCTATCCATCCATCCATTCACCCCTCCATCCATCCATCCATCCATCCATTCATCCATCAATCCATCCATCCATTCATCCATCCATTCATCCATCCATCCATCCATCCATCCATCCATCCATCCATCCATCCATCCATCCATCCCTCCATCCATCCATTCATCCATCACCATCCATCCATCCATCCATCCATCCATCCATCCATCCATCCATCCATCCATCCATCCATCCATCCATCCATCCATCCATCCATCCATCCATCCATCCATCCATCCATCCATCCATCCATCCATCTTTCTATTTATCTATCTATCGATCTATCAATCTATCGATCTAATCTATCGATCTATCTATCTTTACATTATTATGTATATAGATACTTAGATGTTCAGTGTTATATCATTAAGAAAATTTATTTATTGATTTTGTAAAATTTAAAGTTTGTGGATTACGATGTACATTTAATGTTCAGCATATGGATAGATATTCTTACCGGGACAACACTTATAAAGTAAATCCCATTCAAGACATGTAACGTGTTTTTTAAGCCTAAGAATTAGTCGTCATAAATAAAAAAAAACTTCACTCCCTTAAAAGCAAAAATGTCTTTAAAAATGGATCTTTGCTGTATCTGAAGTCCCCCTATTAAATAATTTCTTTTATAAGGGATTTAAATGATAATCATAATTAACATTTTGAATGACCAAATAGGACCCTGGTCGGTTGGCGGTTCAGCATCCTACGACCCAAACACAGGGTGGTCCGCTGGAGGCTCTGTCGATTACAGTAAGGGTAACTTCAACGCCGGAGGACGCTTCGACTACAACCCGCATTCTGGTGCATCATATGGAGTTGGTCTCTCATATAGGTTCAAATAGAACACTTGAAATCAATTGATCCGTCTCCAAATGACATTATACATTTTAATAAACATTTAATTCCTTATTTCTGTGTTCTTTTTTTGTTGTAAATGTCTATTCTGTTTTAACTCACGTGACTAAATAATTAAATTTTAAAAATTTACAAATTAAATATCAATTTACTAAATATATTCTTTATAATTATTTTAAATTTATACTATTTTTTAAATTGTATATTTATTTTTTTTCACGGTATAACATTTGGATTATTTCCTTTTTTTTAAATTTTGTTGTTTGGCTGTAAATAAAACATTTATGCAAAATGGGACTCATTCTATCAAAACAATGCCCAAAAAATAAATAAAATAAAATACCGGTGGGATCCAGATACCGGTTGGATCATAATTGTGGTGTGATCCCGTTTCTCGGTTTGTTCCCAATACTGGTGAGATCCGGGTCCCTGTGGAATCCCAATTTTTTATTGGATCCCAAACCCAATGGAATCCCGACACCGATGGGATGCCGATAACTGTAGGGCCAGTTTCCCGCAGGGGTCATCTTTTCCAATGGGATCTCATTGGCTGATAGGATCCCTAATTGATTCCGTTACCAATTGAGATAGTGTTACTGGTGGGTTCTAGTTTACTCGTTCCGCTATAGGATCCTGTTACTCGTTGGGAACATGTTCCCAGTGGATTTTGTTCCCGGTAGGATTATGAAGGTATGTTAAAACAAAATTCCCCCCAAAGTTATAGCAATGACTAGATATAAACTGACATTTCAATAAGCTTTGAAGCCCAATTAAATTTTTCCCCGTAGAACAAAAAAGAACTTTCTGGAAAATTTAAGATGAAAATTAATATCCTTCTTGAAACGTGTCAAAATTCTAAATAAACATTTACATGATTTAAAATATTACATCATTGTGTCGAACATTAAAAGTGACGTACTTACCTCCATCTTCGAGGATCGCCCTCTTTAGAGTGGATAGTCATCATTGCATTTGATAATCTCCGCAAGTACGTCTCTTGGGTATCGATTCTCGCATTTCGAAAAAGAACAGCTTGATGAATTGTGGTTCAGTTAGCAACTTGGACCATGAATCATGTTTTTTGGTGACGACTTGAAAGAAGTATTGATCCACGTCGACATCTGGTTTCTTCTGAGATGATTTCTTAAATTTGATCTGGTGTGACTTTTTGATAAACCAAATTTAAAAAATGTGTGAATGTGGCAATCGTCCTTTTTGACATTCATTGAAATACATCCAACAGCGTGTCTCTCCATAAAGATTTCTATTCATGTTTGAATACACTTGTGGAAATATCATAACGATCCAATTGTCAATATAACAAAAGTTATTGAATTTTATTCTAAGTATGATTGTATGTGCAGGTAATAGAAAAATCTAGGCGGCCATAATTGCAAACATATATCGTTGTATCTTGTGCATATTTATGCAATGGCCACAACTCCATGTAAATGGGGCCTGTAGTATGATAATTTTTCCAAATTCATTTAATATTTAATGTGCGTTCATTAACATCTGCGTCAGGTAAATGAATATTTTCTTAGGAACGCAAATTGGTTTGATTTAATGGAATGTATGGGAGTCGAACGTTTTCGATTATCAAATACATATTGAAAATGTATTTATGGAACAATTGTAGACATTTAAAAATATGATTTCATCCATATGACATGGCACTGACTTTCTTATTCGTTTCCTCATATGTCTGTTGATTTTTCAATTTGATGTTGAAATCCATCTTCTCCTTGCCAAAATAAAATCGGATA